TGGTAAAATTAGGACCGCGGAAAACAAAATAAAAACTACCTGGAATATAATTAATAACGAGACAGGTAGAAATAAATTACGTAACGCTGAATTCAATTTAAACACTGAAAATGGACGTATCAGTACAAATTCAAAAGTTGCACAGGAATTTGAAAGCTTCTTTAAAAATATACCACATAAAACCACGGAAACGTTAAAATCATCGCCATCTCTCTCTGTTGAGCTTCTTAAAAGCAATGTTACAGAATGCTCTTCTGTTTTTCGTTTTCAGTACACCAACCCTCACGCAGTCATTAAAGCGTTTAAAGATATTAAAGTTAAATCGACTGAAGATCTCTGGGGAATGTCGGTTAGGATGTGTCGGTCTTTTATAGAAACTATAGCACCTCATTTGGCTTTCATCTTTAATAAAGGTATAGATCAAGGAATTTTCCCGGATTTAATGAAACATAGTAAAGTGATTCCATTGTTTAAATCCGGTGACAGTGCAGAACCCAACAACTATAGGCCGGTCTCTATTTTACCAGTGCTTAGCAAAGTTTTTGAAAGACTAATGCTCACCCAGATGCTACGTCACTTTAACATTAATGGTATTTTCCATGACCAACAATACGGGTTCACTAAAGGTCGCTGCACTACTGACGCGGGAGTAGCGCTAATTAAGCGGATTTTCGCTTCGTGGGAAGAGACACATGATGCCATTGGCATTTTGTGATCTATCTAAGGCATTTGACTGTGTTGAGCATGAGACATTATTGCTGAAACTGGAACATTATGGCATTCGAGGGGTATCGCTAAATCTATTAAAATCATACCTTCAGAATAGGCAACTCAAAGTAATATAAACAAAATAAACTCCAGGGTGCTAGCATATCTATGGGTGTACCGCAGGGCTCGATACTGGGTCCATTCTTATTTTTAACATACATAAATGACTTACCCCATTTATTTAAAAATGAGCCACATATGGTTTTATTTGCTGATGACACTTCATTGGTTTTTAAAATGAATAGACGGACAATAATTATGACGATGTAAATAACGCCTTAATGAAGGTTCAAAATTGGTTTACATTAAATAATTTAGTATTAAATGATAAAAAACAAAATGTATTAGATTTGTTTTGCCAAATGTTAAAAGCAGCGAATGTGACATATTATTGAATGATGAGAAATTGGAATTTGTAAAAGAGACTACTTTTCTGGGGATTACTGTAGACGACAAACTGCAATGGGGTCTTCATATTACATCTTTAGCGGGACGATTGAGCTCTGCAGCTTATGCTGTCTGGAAGATCCGACAGTTGACCGACATAGGCACGGCAAGACTAGTGTACTTCAGTTACTTTCATAGCATTATGTCGTATGGCATTCTGCTGTGGGGACACGCTGCTGACATTGAGTCTATCTTTATCTTACAAAAGCGCGCCGTCAGAGCTATCTACAACCTAGGTCGTCGCGAATCTCTCAGAGAGAGGTTTAAAGAGATCAACATTATGACCGTTCCATGTCAATTTATCTATGAAAACATTATGTATGTTAGGAAAAATCTACAGTTATTTGCTAAAGTGTCGGACAGACACCACTATCAAACTAGACATAAGGATAGATTAAGTCAGCCAATTTTGAGATTGGCGAAAGTGGGTAAATCGTTCATGGGATTCTGTGTTAAATGTTATAACAAGATACCAAGCGATATACAGCACCTAAATGAAATGAAGTTTAAATTATGTATAAAAAAAAACTTTATGTAGACAAGCATATTACAAAATTAATGATTATATAGAAGATAAAAATGCTTGGATGCACGCTGGTCCAGCTCCACGGGATAACGAAAAACATTGATGTGTCAATGAAATTCAACCTAAATATTACAACGTAGTTGCTTAAATGTATATGGTTTAACTTGCATAATCATTGTTAATGTGAGAGCCCTGTAATTAACTAAATATTAAATTGGACTAGTAGAATGCATTTATGTCAGCTTGGAGTTGTCATGTTCACTCAAAGATCGAATTGGCGGTGGCACGTGCATTGGGTCGCTAGATTCCCTGCAATATGGTTGAGTTGGGCGGTGCTGGTGTACGTGTCATGTTCGTGAACGGGCGCCGTCAACTGTGACTGGCCAGCTCCAGACTATTATTTATTGTCTTTAAGGGTTATTTTCTTTTTCGATCTCTTTGGCTAGATTTGGTGTTACATTGTTCTCGCACAATCAAACCAATAAAACTGTGTAACTGAAGAATTGTATTGTGAAACTGATTGGAAAAGAGTAACCTATGGAGTTTCTTGCTCGTTCTTCTCCATAGGAATCTACACCTTGGAATGAGCAAATAGCTTCATTTTTAAATTTCTATTGCTGACGTTCAAAAGTGCCTTCCTGGTCTAATTGAAATAAATGATTTTTGACTTTGACTTGACTTTGAATCGAATCGAGACCGCGTTCTACCCTCTGATTGGTGGGTTAATTGGAGCCGGCCAATCAGAGCGTCGAACGCGGTCTCATTTTGATGACTTTAAATGTAACACAAATTCGTTTTAAGGCCTCAGAGAGCTTAGTAAGAGTTTGTTTAACGAGATCGAAACGTTACAGCATTTAGCGGTGTGATTGATTGGTTCGTTGGGCCAATCAGAGCTCTGAACGCGGTCTCATTTCGATTACTTTAAACGTAAATCAAACTCTTACTTAGCCCTCTGATTGGCCGGATTGATTGATACGTTACAGCGTTCTACTCTCTGATTGGGGTTGGTTCATTGGAGCCGGCCAATCAAAGCGCCGAATTCGGTATCGTTGCGTTTCGATCATGTTAAACGTAAAAAAAAACTGTTTAGAGTTTAGGATACTTCAAGAATTAGATTAAAAGTTAGCACTGTCTGCATCTTATTGATCTTACTTCTAATATTATAAATGCGAAAGTTTGTGTGTATGGACGGTTCTGAATCAGTTCAAAATGGCTGAAGGTATCGGGATAAAATTTAGAACAGGAATAGTTACATAACAATCTGGAATAATACATAGGCTTATCTTTTATTCCCACATGACCGAGGGTGAAGCCGCTGGCAGAAGGTAGATTTACATCAGTAAGTAAAAACAGTAATGATAATGGTTTAATACGGACTGGTGTCCGAAAACATAGTAATTGTAACCAGGCTAGGGCTTGCTGTTGTGGATAACTGTGATATAATATTTATTGTCTCTCGTTTTATAAGTAAAAAAATAAATAAAGCAAATTAATTACTTAGGCTTATTTAATTATCATATATCCATCCATAAATCAATCTGATGGAGGAAATCAACAATAATTGCATTGGAAAAACCGTGGAAAAACCCAAGTATTAAATACAAATCCAACCTTGGACATCCTCGTAAATTGCAGATAACCTTACTTTGACACTGGACTATGGCTCCTATTATATACAAAGAATTTCAAACTGAAAGACCTTTCGTAGCTCACAAAGATCTTGTAAAGAGAGGTCTAATTATACTGGTCTTTTAAACTGAAAGACCTTTTCTAAGAGACCTTTTGTAGTTCCAAAAGTATTTGTAAAGAGAGGTCTAGATATACTAGCTTTTATTTTCATGACACTACGGTGTAGTAATTAGGTACTTATCTATTCTAGGTCATTTCCTCAGTTTAGAGAGAAATTATTTTTCCTCAATACTCAGTTTGTGTCAGTTTTATTTCAGGAGCCATAGTTTGGTTAACACTTCTTTGAGTGTTGCGGATTTAAAAACTATTTTGTTAATTTATTTTACAACAAAAATAATCTGTTAAGTAGTTTGTGTGTACAGTGATCAGTTGATATAGTTATATCATTGGCATAATGTGGGTTCTTTTTAAAAGGTTAGTGCTTAATAGTGATAGTTGATGATTATTTCTAGTTCTGTGTGGTATGCATTCAATTGAAGTTTTTATTTCAAGACATTTTATGTGATGAAGATTAAATTATAATAGCAAAATATATCAATATTCATGTTGCTCAACTTTTCTATTAAAAATTATAAACATAATATTAAGTAGGCAGTATATAACTAACCACCATACTCGGAGTCATTCAATGGCTACTTAGCCCAATGCTTAGCATTTGTTTTCTGAAGAAAATCGTCACTAAGGAATAGTTTAAGTGATCATTAAATGTCTCTGAGTACGGCAATCAGTTAAATAAATCAATGGTAGGTACCATAAAGAATAAAGACCTGTTGAAACATGTTTTAGCAAAAGTAGGTATGCAAATCATTTGGATATAAGGATATACAAAATACAAACCCTTCAGTATACTCTGCCTGCAAGAGTCCAAGGTACGCCTCCCATTTGTTGCCAATTACCTTTCCACATGTAAAACAACGGACTGGGATGATCATGTTGGCTTGTTACTCTGAAATAGTGAAAACGAAATTAGTGTAGTTTTCAGGGGCAAACTTATGATATTTTTGTAACAAATACTTATAAATAGTAAAGAAAATGCTATATAAATTTAGTATTTAAACGATAAACGAGCACTAAAACCACAAATTGCATCAAAACAAACATCTTTGAACAGTTGAGGTTATGTTCTGTGGTTGTATTATGGTATTTTACACTTTTAGAGTACTTACAAATTACAAAACAACGAGACTTTGTTTTTGTTGATAGATATTTCAATAATACGATCACTGGGTATCTACTTATTTACGTGAATACTAGAATTATTTTAATAATTCCGAATTTAACAGACCGCACTAAACAAAACGCAATAATCACATATTGTTATTGACATAACGTTTTGACGTTCAAGAGAATGAATGATAATGACCGAATGGAAAATTAACCACAGACTACCTATAGGCTGTAGTTAATTTTTCATTATTTTAAATGTCCAACACAGGTCCAATATTATTCTTTTTACATTATTATACAAAGAATAAGGTAATGAATCTTTAACTAAACTAATTTTATTAAATATTGATTTCGCCTGTTTTGTTTCAGATTTACTTGCCAGGCTTCAAAATACTGCATCACAATGACAGTGAGCATGGAGCAATATTTAACAACTGACGACAGTCAATCGGTAATTATTTCTTTTCATCGGAATTTAAAATTTATTCTTCCGCGACTAAAATCGTAGAATAGACTGATATTTTTTTTATATTATGGCAACATTATCAGCTCAAATTCATTCGTTCATTACTATGACATTGACGTGACTCATGACATTTGCAATCTGTCAATTCTGTCATTGAGTGAGATCGTGATTGTGTTCATTGTGTTGGTGTTGAGTTGATTGTTTCGAATTTCCGATTCGGATTACAGCTGGTTATTGTCTTTTGATAGTGTTTTATGTCATAAATTAACCCAAGATTAAATTAATATTGTACTCCTATATGTAGTAGTAATGTGAATACTGTGTTGGTGAAGTATTTGGAACAATTTTACAGTGATAAGTTCAAAATCACTTGTTACGTTCGACGAAATATAAAATACTGACCTTAAAGTTTACGTTTTTAAAACAAGGATGTTTTAAATCTTTGCTGTATTGTTAATAGAATAAACTACGTATAACAAATCTTATCAACGAAGTAATTAAAGAAAACAGTAAGATTACGAAATGGCTTTTCCAATTAAATTACATGTCGCAAACTTTGACAAAATAGCTGAAAAATAAACGTTTTAGTAATGATAAAATATTAACTACATTGAAACCATCCATTAAACTTAATTACTATTACACAAGTAATATAAAATTAATGGAATTTATGTAAATACCAAAGTGGTGATTGTATCATCTGTGCAAATAAAGAAGACAGATAATAAAATGGAATCTGATGATGATATTCGACCTCTTATTGAGTATGAAGGAAGTAGAGATTTGTATTTGGAACTCACAGCACAACTGATCAATGCTGACCCTGAATTTGAACAGGTAAAAATAGAGTAATTTTTTTATTTTTAGAATTTGTAGGTCTATGATTATACTCTTTGGGTCTATGCATGATAGTTCTTAGTGGCAATATCTTTTTGTTTTATTTTTTTCAAATATACAACTTTTGGTATTTAAAATATTCTACTTTAAAGTAGTTGCATAATTAAACAATTTATGTTATGCAGTTCTTTTTGTTATCTCTTTTACTTCCTAACTGGTTTTTCTGCAAGAGAAAAATGCATGTATTTAATATACTACAGTGTTCTTTGTTGTCCTAGAGTTAAAACTAAATTACTTTAGAACTTTTATAGGGGGGACTTTGGTATGCAACCTTTGAGGATACACAAACGTAAAATAAGATAACAAAAAACTGTTTTGTTTATTTCTAAAAACAACTGGTTTTACTAAAACCTGTTGTTGAATGCAAATATATTTTAAGCATTCAAGAATTCTTGGATTGATATAATTTTATTAGGTACTTGTAGTTTACAAGCATCTGGAATATTTTTCAGCATGTTTTTGAGTTATACTTATGATTGAAGTTTATATTAAACTTTTACAGGATATAGCAACATCAATAACAACTTACTTAAATATAGCCTTCGAAATTTTTGGTAAGCCGAGTGTCCCCTGGTTTTACAATTTGTAGTACCTACATAGTTAATACCCCCACTATTTATTTAACTACATCTTTAGTAGAATTGCTAGAATAGAAAAGTCCTTGTTTGTAAGATTTATCCTGTAGATATAGTTATTAATAAGTAATACTCCCTCATTGGTAGAATTATGATAAGCTCAACTGTCTGGATGGAAAAACAAGAAAAATGTGTTTGAAATTGTTTCTATGTTTGCATCTATGTAATAAGACTCTAAAGTTTAGTAATATTTTATGGTGGTGTTTGCCCTGCCTTTATATTTACGGGGTTCAAAACAAAATTGGCGATAAACTACAATTAATTATTTGTTGTTTGCATGACTGCATATCTTAGGACCTTTCCTACCCTTGTATATAAGATATTGTACACTATTTTTGTTAATATTATCCTATAATGCGATTGTATGGTGTACCATAAAGCACATATTAAATTAAATTAACCCGTATATCCCCAAGCTGTCACTGGTGACCGCTCTCCACTAACTACATTATAGACCTTATCTCCAAAGTTTAGAGACTACTTTTGTATGAACAAATTTAGGGGATGATTTGCAACAATTTTCAACGGGTTAATTAAAAGACAAGGAAGTTGTACGGTCCACCCGTACAATTATTGGAATATTGTAGAATAAGTACTTTTGTACCGCGAGCGCACTTTACTTCAGTTCGCGTTCGATTCTCGCCGCGGTTACTCATTTGTATCATGTAACTATCATTAAAGTTATATTATCACTATATCATCGTATCATTTGTAGTTGTCCCGTACAACTTTTTGGTCCTTCGAGCCACCGAATTGGCGGGGCCTTGCGCGTGTTACAACACAAGTATCACCCCGCTAAACTAGTGAGTGGATATTCTGGAACATTACTATCAGAGGAACCACTATGTAATAAAGCAGCAGATACCGGTGAGTGTGCCCTCATTTTAATCGCCACAGCGAAGCATCTGGTCTACATCTTCGAGTGGACTCGTTGCGAGGTTAGCATCATTTTGTTGTTGCATCACCAACCTCAGCATCATTATCAGTAATCAGAATAGACTTATCAGCTCTGTCAGCTAGCACCAAGGGTTTACAGGGTATCTATTCTCAAGGAAGCTTATCACTGAAGCTATATCATCTCTAACATGGAGAACCTAATGGAAAATCAAAACCAAATTATGCAAGGCATGGAACAAGTCTTGCGTAATTTTAAAAAAGATGGACCTGAAAGAAGAACCTCTACTTATGTTAAAAAACGTATAGAGCTTCTCGATTCATATTGGGAAGAGTTCCAGTCCAATCATAACAAATTAATAAAATCTGAAGACCGTGGCTACAGCTACTTTTCAGAAAATTATTATAACAAAACTAAGACCTTTTATAACGAGGCACGTGAATACATACAGCAGAGCATGGTCACCATGACCAACCCTAAAATTATCGAAGCACCGACTATTCCACAATCATCTAGGCAAGCAGCTGAAGTGGAGAAGAGTCAGGGGCACGGTAGCAAATCGACAGATATTGGGGATATTCAGCAAACAACCACCAAGGTTACAACCAAGGCGCCGATATTTTACACTTCACAAGGTAACAGCAGCAAGCTGGAAGAGATGCTTAGAAAACAAAAGAGTAATTTCAAGGCTTTCTCGCGTACCATAGCAACTATAGATTTAGATAAAATATCGGAAAAGTGGGAGTTTGATGATCATTTACAAGCTGTTCAGTCAAGATGGTCAACAATAGACTCATTGCATTGGGAGATTGATAGCGAAACAATTGATGAAAATCAAGAGTATGAAGAGTTGTTCAGCAAATACGAACAACTTTATCAAGAAATCAAGCAAAATATCAACCGTAAGATGTGGTCTGTCTCTCACCGTGATAAGAGTACCCCTAAGATGGACATCCCAACATTTAATGGGAATTATCATCAATGGATAGCATTTAAGGACTTATTCACGGAATCTATACACAGCAATCGCTCCATCTCCTGTGCACAAAAGATGCAATTTTTGAAATCTAAGCTCAGAGGTGAACCAGAGAGACTCATCCAGCACTTACATATTAGCACCGAGAACTATAAGGTCTGCTGGGACATATTAAACCACAGATACAATAACACAAAATTAATATTTAGCTCTCACGTCAATATCCTTTTATCATTACCAACTATGCAACAACAGTCAGCTTCTCAAATAAAAAAAATGTATGACATTACTAATGAGTGTCTGAATGCGGTTAAAAATCTTGGAGTTGACACAGCAACGTGGGATCCATTTGTTGTTCACATACTAGCATTGAAACTGGATCAACAGACCCACTCTGACTATACGGACTCTTTGAAAAACCCACGAGAACTACCAATATTGAGTGATTTTTTGGGATTTCTGGAGAATAAGTTTACATCATTAGAGGCATCACGGCGTAAGCAAGATGTGCAAAAATCAGATATCAAATCAGATAACAAGTCTCAACAAGAGCCCAATAATAAGAAGCATTTCTATAAATCAAGTAAATCATTTTTAAACAACTATTCAACTAAAAATCAATGGAAATGTCCGGTTTGTGGAGAAAATCATCGCTTATTCAGTTGCAAGACCTTCGTAGAATCTACATCAGATTCTAAACGCAGGACAATCAATAAACTGAATTTATGCAAAAACTGTCTTTATGACCACAAAGGTAAGGCATGTATTTCCGATAAAAGATGTCGTGAATGTCATGGTGAACATAACACCTTGTTACACGACACCTACTCGGGTTCCAGTAGCGCGAAGTCTGACGCTATCGCTTCGACATTAAAGGAACGGAAAAATGTCACACACGTATCAAATCCAGAGATATTTGAAACTTTGTTGGCAACAGCTCAAATCAAGGTTATGGGAATAAACGGGATTTATTATCCTATGCGTGCTCTAATAGATCAAGGATCCCAAGTATCATTAATAAAGGAAAAAGCTGCACAAAGATTGGGACTTCCTCGACGAGCATGCAAGGGGGTTGTAATGGGAGTTGGTGCCAAGGAAAATAATTGCAAGGGTGTTATACAAATTGAAGTATCGGCAGTGTATACAGATTTCACTTTTTCCACTGAGGTAATTATCATGAATACTCTGCTTCACAATCTACCCAATCGATCATTCCAAAAGCCATCATGGGCTTGTATAGAGCATGTTAATTTAGCGGATCCCGAATATAACCTTAGCCGTCCAGTCGACATACTACTAGGAGCTGATGTATACTCATCAATCATCATGAATGGTATCATCAAGGAGGGCGATTCACAGGTAGTGGCGCAGCAGACTCGCCTTGGCTGGATTCTAAGTGGGAACATTATATCGTACCAATGCAGTGTTGTCCTAAATAACATAGATGAGATCCAGAGATTTTGGGCAATCGAAGATGTTGCAGATGAGAATCAGAACAAGTTGTCAGAAGAAGATTATCAGTGCATACAGCGTTATAAAGCAGACACATCAAGAAGAGAAGATGGTCGTTACGTTGTCAGAT